GGGGCGATTCCTCTTCTTCTAGTTTCAAAAACCTAATCTCCTATTAAAATAAGGTGTTTGGTCGAAAAGTATGTTCAAAAACACAAACATGCAATTCTCTCTATCTCCTCCACCATCTTTGATTTCAAGAACTCAATCCGAAAAGGACTTGATTTTCAGAAATCAATCTGATTCTTCTGTATCATATGAATCATAGTAATCTGTTTATGGTTTTGTCTCAGTTTGTTTTCCATTTTAAAACTTTATGTAGCTATTATCGGTGTTAGTGTGTTGTTGCAAACATTTTTACTAAGTTTGAGTTTATTAATTTTGAGAGACATGTTTTTTAGTTCTTATCTAGTCAACTTATGAGTGTTTGTTTATTTGTTTTCTTTGAATTTTACTTTAGTTAATCCGAAACCGATACAGTAAAACCCGAACCCAAATGATATATGGTAACTTCAGTATAATCTGAACCCGAACCGAAACCGATGTGTTATATCCGATCCCGATCCGAATTTAAGAATTTCTTAAAATGGGACCTAAGAGGTGTTACAAAAAAGAACCGATATCCGAAATACCCGATCCGAACCCGAACGGGTACCCGAACGCCCAGGCCTAGTCACAGTAACACAATATATCATCTCACTGAATTTATCTTTGATGAATCATTTTCTACAAGTCACAAAGCATTTCTTGCAGCTATATGCGCCGAGTGTGAGCCTAAAATTTTTAAAGAAGAAATAAGAGATAAGAGATGGACAAAAGCCGTCTACAAAGAGGTAGATGTGATTGAGGTATCTAATATTTTAATGAGTAATTTAATAAAATTTCATATTCTCTCTAATTCAATGGACTAACCCCTATAAAATCTGTAATTTCTGGAGAAACATGAAAAAATAAGGTCTTAGACCTCTTTAATTTTCATCACATGTTATTGCATGATGAAGTTATGGATTAAATAAATACCATATTTTCTAAATTATCTTACAAAAAGATCGAGTTTTTTTCCAATAAATGTTATATATACTAAATTTTAGCCTCTTAAATATTTTTAAAAAATACCTAACCACACTCTAATGCATATTAGTGTATGCTAAACATATTTTCATAGTACATAGACATCATTTCTAATTTTCCAACGAGATGGACAAAGGCTGTCTACAAAGAGGTAGATGTGATCCTCCTTCTTGTTTGGTTCATGGTGGTTTCTTTCAGTTGTATTCTGACTATTCATTGTTTGTATACTCGCGTGATAATGTTGAGATACGAGTTTTGATATATGTTGATGATTTGATCATATGTGGTAATGATGGTGAAGCTATACAAAAGTTTAAGGAGTATCTTGGTGAGTGTTTTCATATGAAAGACCTAGGGAAACTCAAATATTTCCTAGGAATAGAGATTGCAAGAAAAAAAGAGGGATTTTTGTTAATTCTGAAAAAGTATGCTATGGACATCGTAAATGAGACCGGTCTTCTTGGTTCAACACCAGCCGCAACACCAATGGAGCAAAACCATCACCTGGCGACTGATAATAGTGCGTTTGTTACTGAGCCAGCTCGATATAGAAGGCTTATCGGACGGCTCATTTATCTTGCCAATACCAGACCGGATATTTCCTATTCAGTACATACGCGGGAGAGGCATATGGAGGCTGCGTTGCGAGTGGTACGCTTCCTTAGTGGCACTGTTGGCAAGGTATTTTGCTCAAGTCTAAAGGTGATCTGCAGCTATCTATCTATTGCGACGCTGATGGGCGGTGTCCGTTAACAAGGAGATCTTTGACTACATACGTAGCCATGATAGGAGGTTTTTTTTGTGTCGTGGAAAACAAAGAAACAAAATGTGGTGTCTCATTCTTCGACAGAAGCGGAGTATCGAGCTATGTCCATTACTACGCGCAAAGTAAAATGGCTACAAATCTTTTTATTGATTTGGGTTTGTGCCGAGAACTCCATCTTGTCTTTTCTGTGGCAGAAAGGCTACCTTATATATTGCATCCAACCCAATATTCCATAAAAAAACTAAGCATGTGGAGATAGATTGTCGTGATGTTCTAAAGGCAGGAAGGATTACATGTTCGTATATCAGCACTAAGGAGCAATTAGCCGATATTATAACAAAGGCGTTGGGAAAGATTCAGTTCAACAATCTCATGTATAAGTTGGGGATTTGCAATGCTCCCACTTGAAGGGAGTGTTGAGATAAGTATAGTTAAGTTAAGATAATTATTTAATATATTGGAGATAAATATTCTAATAAGTCGGTAGACTAGATAAACATATAAAGTTGTATATATGTTGATCGTTTAAACTCATTGATCAATACACCAGTACTGGCTTACCTTAACAAATCTCAGCTGTTAACATAACCGCTAATCTAGGGGATCTGGACGAGTACATTGTGAAGGGCCTCACATGATACGCACAGTGGCAAAAGGTATTCAGGTATGAAAAATGGAAGAACACCAGAATTCTAGAAAAAAAAGAAACGTAGGCAATATAATATGCTGGCACAAAGGAAATAGTTGTCACATTGTGGTGATGATCATGGAAGTAATATTGGAAAACTTTATCGAAAAAAATATATTGGAAAACAGATGTAATAGTATCAAGTAATCTGGACTGCAACTACTAGACGACTTGAACATGCATGACTTTTATTCTCATATGAGGAAAAATGATACCATGAAAGAATAGAAGTGGTAAAGAGAGCGGACTTTCTCTTGATCACCACACTGAGGACTTCCGATAGGGGGAAAGGGATAAACATATTTCTGTTATAAGCAGCTCCCAATCCAAGATCCTATTATTAAAACACTTCTCCTACGGTCTCGGTTACATATCAAGGATCCATGGAGCCAATTGTATTTTGGGGTTCCATAAGTCATAATATGTCAAATAAAGTATGGTCCAATGTGCCGATGGTCCTCAGCCATTTTTATATCACGTGGCACGTCCCTTTTGCTGATCTTATCAACTCTTTTTTGATAGATGATCTTATCATTTTCCCGAAGCTTGTGGTGAATCTTTATCCTAAAACAAGTTATAAACTATAATTTGCATCTAAAGTCATGAAAAGACATATATCAATACCATTTATAAGTACCGAGTTGTTAACCTGAACCCAATAACTTCACAAAACATTAAAACATTGTTTCACAAAATTAATATATATAGTACCTTATTCTCTTGACTATGGTGGTTCCTGAACTTCCTGTTAAATATAGTTAACTAACGTCAACTAACTTTAATGGAAAACACACATACACACTAGGGCTGGGCACTATTACTTGATACCCGGTTCATACTTGCTACTTGACTCGGTTTGGTTTGAAAAAATAAGTACTTGGTATAAACAAGTCGAGTAACAAGTAAACAAATTTTATTACTCGTAAGTACAAGTCAAGTATCAAGTCTATTTTTATTTTTAATTACTTGACTTGTTACTTGGTTTGTTACTTGGTTCGTTACTTGTTATTAATTACCTGTTTCGTTATTTGTTATATAATACTTAGTTTATTCAATATTTGATATATACTTTATTAGTTAATTAAAAAAAATTATCTGATGTATTGTATTTCCATCACAACTAAAAAGGAATGGTGTGTTTAATATTAATACTGAATTTGAATTAAGTCCAAATAACTAGAAAAGAATATTTTGGTTTTTGTATATTGTCAATGTCTATGGGTATTTTGTCTTTAGCTTGTATGTAAAATACTTAATAACTGATGCTTAAAAGTTTGTATGTGTATATGAAATTGTGTTTTGGATTTCAAATATTTTATATTTAAGTAGTTAAAGAAAATAGATTAAATAATTGAGAAGATAATATCAAACCAAGGCAAATACAAAACAAAATCAAGTAAAAAACCAAACCAAGTAATCTGCAAGTATTCTAGAAATTTACAAGTACTTGATATNTATGAAATTGTGTTTTGGATTTCAAATATTTTATATTTAAGTAGTTAAAGAAAATAGATTAAATAATTGAGAAGATAATATCAAACCAAGGCAAATACAAAACAAAATCAAGTAAAAAACCAAACCAAGTAATCTGCAAGTATTCTAGAAATTTACAAGTACTTGATATCACAAATACTTGTTAAGAATAAGCCAAGTAAAAGTCAAATACACAACTACTTAAATAAATCAAGCCGGGTAGCAAGTACCACAAAAATGCCGGGTACTTGCCTTGTGCCCAGGCCTAATACACACAAGATTCTTTAAATTTTTCTAAAAATATATCTATCTTATTAAAACAGAAGTACCAATAAAATATACCCCTTAATTTTTCAAGTTATTTACACAACAATGCCATTGTATTTATTAATAATCCTAATTTTTAGTAAGGTTGTCTTTTTCAGTTAATTTAATACATTTCTTATATTGTTTATTAATTTTAAAAACAAAATCATTTTTGGATATCCCCTAGATTTTCTCATATAACAGTTTATGCTACTGATTTTTTTTTTTCTAAAAAATATAGAAGTTTAAATATGAAAATATTAGAAGTGAATAATAACTATAATTTACATATTCAATCACGTTGGACCATTTAATAACATATAGTAAACCTTTTTAAATACTGATTTTAGTTATCATTAATGCTTAAAAATGTCATATTAAACAATAATTTAATACATATATATTTAAAAATTATATATTATTATATATAAAATAAATATATATATTTGCAAAAATGTAAAAATAAACTCGCACGGGTGTGCGGGTCAAGTTATTCTTTAATTCTTCTACAAAAATAAGTTACTACTTGAACGATTCGGTAAAATTACAACAGCGGCACGACGTGTGTACACACATCAACTGATAATGTTACAGAATTACTAGTTTCAATTTTAAATAGTGAAAACCATGGTAATCAACCATATATTAACAAAAAAACATTTTGTTTTGGTTTAGTGTTTAGTAATAATTTAATAATATCTGAAGGAAAAGGAAACGGATAATATAAAATCTAACGGCAGAGAGTAGGAGAGAGAAAGAGGTGTTTGAATGAGATTAAACAACGCCGCTCTTCTTCTCCTCAAATCCTCCTCTCACCCTAGGGTTTTCTCTCTCAGTCTCCGCCGCCATTTTCTCTCCCACTTCCGCTTCTCTTCCTCCTCCGCAGTCATGCCTGGTTCCGAACCCTCATCCGAGATTCAATGGCCTGCCAGGACCGTCAGGGATACGTATTTCGATTTCTTCAAGGGGAAAGGTCACAAGTTCTGGCCATCGAGCCCCGTCGTTCCCCACAATGATCCCACTCTTCTCTTCGCTAACGCCGGTACGTAACTAACTTCCATCGCCAAGTTTTATCGAATCAGATTAATTTACTAATCTCGGTTTATTCATTGTTTTGGAAGCTTTTGGATCTATTCACTATCGATTGATTAAGAGCTTGTTAGTTTAGATACGGTATCTAAATGTCACGTTCTTAATTCTTAGCTCTGTGTATGTTAATTTCATTTCTCTGTTTTTTTTTTGTCAAAGGAATGAATCAATACAAGGGAAGCTTCTAGATCTATTAACTATCAGTTGATTAAGAGTTTGTTAGTTTAGATACGGTAAAATATCACGTTCTTGATTCTTAGCTCTGAGTATGTTAATTTCATTTCTCTGTTTTTTTTTTCAAAGGAATGAATCAATACAAGCCAATATTTTTGGGAACGGCGGATCCGAATACGGAGCTTAGCAAGCTAACCCGGGCGTGTAACACTCAGAAGTGTATTCGTGCTGGTGGCAAGCATAATGATCTTGACGATGTGGGAAAAGATACTTACCATCACACCTTCTTTGAGATGCTGGGTAACTGGTCATTTGGAGATTATTTCAAGAAGGAAGCTATTGAGTGGGCTTGGGAACTCTTGACCAAGGTATTGTTTTTAATTACTCTATGGTTCAACGATTACGTCATTTCTTCTTGCACTTGTAGAAAAGAGCGTTTATCTTTGTTTCAGTGAAGTGTTGTTTCTCCTCTTTCTCTCATGCTACAGTTTTGTCAAGTGTTTCTTTTTTTTTTGATTGGGTTTTGTGTTTTGATTGAGATCCCTTGCAACAGTATGTCATAGTTTTTGTGTTATGACTCAGGTTTATGGGCTACCAACTGATCGAATTTATGCTACCTATTTTGGCGGGGATGAGAAAGCTGGCCTTCAACCTGATAATGAGGCTCGGGATATATGGCTGAAGTTTCTTCCACCTGGACGTGTGCTACCTTTTGGTTGTAAAGTATGTTTGCTTTACTAGTACTATGAAAACGATTCGTTTGTTCCTTCTGTAAATACTGACTCATTTCTTTGTCATTGATACTGTCAAGTTTAAGCTTGAATGCCTTTTGTGGTAGGAATAAGCTATCAAGTTTTTGGTGGTTGACTTGCTCTAAAAACCTGATTTATTATTTCCATTGAAAGACTGTGTACAAATGGAAAAGTAAAGATTTATTATTGCTACCGTCCTTTTATTCAACTTTTGGTGAAACTGCAGGACAACTTTTGGGAAATGGGTGACACAGGTCCGTGTGGACCTTGTACTGAGATACACTATGATCGTGTTGGTAACCGTGATGCTGCATCCTTAGTTAACAATGACGACCCAACATGTTTGGAAATATGGAATCTTGTGTTTATTCAGGTACGACCACTCTTTCCAGATTTGTAATTTATCTCCATTTCAATACTTTTGATCTATTTATCCTGGTTGTATACATAAACTCTACAGTACGTCTCCGGTCGCATTATTTTGCTTCTCTAGCTTTGTTATTATTCAATTATGTTCTCTAACGAGGCCAATCACTATATTTTCAAAATAGTTCAACAGAGAGACTGATGGCTCACTAAAACCTCTCCCTGCTAAGCATGTCGATACTGGAATGGGTTTCGAGCGGTTAACTTCTGTTCTTCAGAACAAAATGAGCAACTACGATACAGATGTCTTCATGCCTATCTTTGATGACATTCAGAAGGTAATTTGTGTAACCTTAAGGTTTTATGTTCTGTTAACATATCGAGTTACTATTCGGTGGTTCCTCTTAGGGATGCTTTTGTCGTCTTATGGGTGTTAGTAATTCTATGAATTCTAATCTTAGCCTATTTGATCTGCGGGAGGCTACAATGACACTTTCATTTGTTTTGAATATGTCTGTTTTAGTGAATATGGAGGATAATGATCCTGGAGATTATATCCATCATGTATTTTTCTCATTAAGAGATGCTTAACAGTGTTCTGATTAGTCATTTTTCCCGAGCTGCCCTGAATCTCAAGTTTAGGTGTCCATGCTTTCACATTTTTAGGCCACAGGAGCTAGGCCATATTCTGGAAAAGTTGGTGTGGAAGATGTCGACAGAGTTGACATGGCTTACAGAGTTGTTGCGGATCATATTAGAACGCTGTCATTTGCTATCGCGGATGGCTCCCGTCCTGGTATTGCCATGATTTCTTGTCTCATTTTATGCAAACGTCTTAGTATTCGACCATTTATTTGAGTTTATACGTCCACCTGTTCAACAAAAGTGTGTTTGGTTCATCTATTCTAAGTTGCACATGACGGATTTGTGGTTCGTCAGCCTATTTAGCTATTCTGTTCTTTCTTATTGGTTAACAAATACCGTCTGATGCATACTATCTTGCAGGTAATGAGGGCCGTGAGTATGTTCTGCGGCGTATTCTTCGCCGAGCAGTTCGATATGGAAAAGAGATCCTAAAAGCTGAGGAAGGGTTTTTCAACGGGTAGGAAATTACACTTAATTTTCTTTTGGGTTGTCTCAGTATTATTCTTACGTGCTGGAACATTATTTTTATCTTGCCCCTTTGTAAATGCTGCATATGTTTCTTTACGCATCATAGTTCCGTCTGTGTTTGAAACTAATCAGTTTGCCTTGTAACATGCAGACTAGTCAGTTCTGTTATTCGAGTGATGGGTGATACCTTTACAGAGTTGAAGGAACATGAGAAAAAGATCACAGAGATAATAAAAGAAGAGGAAGACAGCTTTTGCAAGACCTTGGCGAAGGTGAGGACTGGCCCACCAATTCACAGCTCAATGTCAAAGACACCTTTTTTGTATAATATTATTTCCAGTTTCGCCATCATTCAGTTTGCCAAAATTTCAGCATACCATTTTCTGAAAGATGAATTGTTTGATAAACTTTTTATTGTCATATATAGGTGTATATAAGAGCATTTAGATTGATTATATAAACTTTTCATGCCAGGGAATTGAGAAATTTCAGAAAGCTGGCAAGGCAGTTCAAGGGAATACACTGAGTGGAGAGGTACGTATCCAATTAGATATGGCAGTATTTTCATCTATGATGTTTGAATTTTCATCTCAACAAACCGTCTTCTCTTTGCAGGATGCTTTTGTCTTATGGGATACTTATGGTTTCCCATTAGATCTGACTCAGGTACCAAGGTTATTCGTAGTTATATCTGGAACTTTGTGCGTTTCCTTATAACTTTCATTCCTGGGCTTCAGTTGATGGCTGAAGAAAGAGGATTGCTGGTTGATGTTGATGGTTTCAACAAAGCCATGGAAGAAGCGAGGGAAAGATCTAGAAGTGCCCAGAATAAGGTGTTTCAACTTTTCTTTTACATGTTAGAATTACGTAGGACTATGGTCGAAGATTGAACTTACATTTATTTATTGACTGATTTTTTGATGTCATTTTTGGTAGCAAGCTGGTGGTTCCATTGTTATGGATGCTGATGCTACATCAAAATTGCACAAGGCTGGTGTGTTAGCAACAGATGATTCTTTTAAATACACTTGGTTCCAGGTTTGTTCTTTTATTCCAGAAAATTTGAATGTTGGGCCTGAAAGAAAGAAGTTAGGGCACAGAGTGGCAAATGGATTTTTCTTGAATTAAGCATATACTGAGAAAATGTCCTACCTTATTTTGCGACAGGATCACGAGAGTGAAATAAAGGCTATCTACACTGGCTCTACTTTTTTGGAAAGTTCAGCTGCTGGTGATAACGTTGGACTAGTATTGACGTCTTCTAGTTTCTATGCTGAGCAGGGTGGCCAGGTGATTTATTTGATATGTGTAGTTTAGTTTTCCAACTGTTTTTCATATCTGATCATATATGATTTATGGCATGAAGCTGCAGTATTAATCATGTTCATCTTGCGTATATATACCATGAACACCATCATAATAGAACTGCATGGTTGAACTTACGTATTGGCTGTCAATTTGCAAACCATTTACTTTAGTATGTTTACAGCGGCATATATTTTAGATTTATAAGGTCTAGCTGGTGATACAGTTCCCTATATGTACATAAAATGTGTGCCCTAACATTTTTTCTGGCAATAGATTTTCGACACCGGACTTATTGAAGGCTCGTTTGGTACATTCAACGTGTGTAATGTCCAAATATTTGGCGGTTTTGTTCTTCATATTGGCTATCTCTCTAAAGAAACTGGAGTGGTATCTGTGGGGGATAAAGTGACTTGCAAGGTATGGCTCTATATCATACAGTGTCTGTCTCAGTCAGCAGCGTATTTGGTTCTATCTGAATTGTTACCATATCCGTTTTCTATGTGTGTAGGTTGACTATGAGAGACGTAAGCTCATCGCTCCTAACCATACTTGTACACATATGTTGAACTTTGCACTGAAGGTATCGTTTCTGTAGTTTAAGTTACCTAAACGGTAATTTACTTTTTTTTTATTGGATTTCAAAACATTCACTTTCCATGAATTCAGGAAGTGCTAGGGGATCATATTGATCAGAAGGGATCAATAGTTCTTCCTGAAAAACTGCGTTTTGATTTTTCCCACGGTACATTCTCCAATAAGCATTTTACATATTGATATGGATGGTCTGTTATAACTGTCTAACGGGTTCCATAATTTCGATTAGGCAAACCGGTTGACCCTGAAGATTTAAGAAAGATCGAAGCCATAGTGAATAAACAGATCAAGGATGAATTGGAAGTATTTTCCAAGGAATCGGTGCTTTCTGAAGCCAAGCGAATCAAAGGTCTAAGAGCAGTGTTTGGTGAAGTAAGCTGTCCACCAGTTCTCTTGCAATGCGTTTTTAGATTGGTTTCTGTGAAATGCCAAAATGTTTTCCGTTCTTCTCTTCTGTTTTTAGGTCTACCCTGATCCTGTCAGAGTGGTGTCGATTGGGAGACGAGTCGAAGACCTCTTGGCTGATCCTGAAAACGAGGAATGGTCATCGCTTTCTTCTGAGTTTTGTGGAGGTTGTTTTCCATGGGGGATGGCTTTTTGGACCTAGAGATCATCTTTCTTAATCGACTATTGAGTACTGTATTATTTTGGAAATTTCAGGAACCCATATAACAAACACCCGTGAAGCCAAAGCGTTTGCTCTTCTATCAGAGGAGGGAATTGCTAAAGGTATTCGTAGAGTAACTGCTGTGACTACCGAATGTGCTTTTGATGCATTGAATGTGGCGTCCTCACTTGAAAAACTAGTTGAGGATGCATCCAAAGAGGAGGGGAGTGTATTGGAAAAGGTTATCCCTCTCTTATCCCTTCACAGTCTAAAATTTATATTACCTTTTATTCATGCCAAACTTGATGTGTTCATTTTTGCATGGTCACAGAAAGTTGCTGCTTTGAAAAGCCAGGTAGACGCAGCAATTATGCCAGCAGCCAAAAAGGCAGATATAAGGGCCAAGATTGCTTTGCTTCAGGTATGCTCTACAGTGAGGAGCTTTGTTAGAATCATCGCCTTGTGTCTAGTAAAAGAAGTATAAAAGCGGATTTTTTATTTATTTTTACATTGCAGAATGAAGTGAGGAAAGCTCAAAAGAAAATAGCAGAGCAAAACCTGAAGAAATCTGTCAAAGTAGCAACAGAGGCGGCGGAGTCTGCAGCATCAGATGGGAAGACATTCTGCATTATACAGCTTGATGTAGGTCTCGATGCAGCAGCCGTACGAGAGGCTGTCTCGAAAGTTATGGAAAAGAAGGTAAGACTCCATTTCCTTGAAGCATCACTTCTAGTAAATATTCATCATAAAGGTAAAGAAAGTTAAATAAAGGGTCTATGGGGTGAATCTTGCAGGGNAGACGACCAACAAGGCGGTTGTGTGTGCAGGAGTTCCAGACAAATCTGATAAGTTCAAGCAATTAGACGTCACTGAGTGGCTTACTACTGCATTGGGTCCTCTTAAAGGGAGATGCGGGAAAGGGAAAAGTGGTCTCGCATCTGGACAGGTATCTCAATCTAAGTTCCATCAGAGAAATATATTATTTGACATAGGTTGGTAATTGTTTGTTTTGGTTTCTCAGGGAACGGATGCCTCTCAAGTGAACGCAGCTTTGGATCTGGCTGCATCATTTGCAGCAATGAAACTTAACTGATTGGTCTGGAGGAGATTACAGAATCTGTGTGGGAGGAACCATCTCTACTCATTTGATACCATTTCACTCATTAAAAGATCTGTTTATTGTCTCATTTCTTGCGTCTGATTTGCTGGTACTCCCTTTTGAGACAGTACGGGTGTTTGGTTTGCTTTTTATATATGTCCTTGTTATGAAACATAGAAGTTGTTAACTTGTTAAACGCACTGCCACTCATGAGGTCAGAGGAAAAAACTCTCTTCTCACTCACTCATATCTAGCACAGTTTTTCCACTTGCCAGTTCGTGATCCACAACTTCATCTCCCCAATCTCTAAGCTATAAAAGTTAACTATCAACTACACAGCA